CAGAATACAAACAGAATGTTGACGCTTTGTGCAACAGAAAAAAATACAGCACCTAGCATTGTTCAATGTTTTCATGAAGGATGTTATATAATTATTAGTTCGGTGCTCTATCCATGCAAACAAATTTGGTGCGGTTCGATGCGAATCCTTTCGAATCGGCCGCACACCCGACAATAATAATAATGTGGATAATATGATCCTCAGCGCGCCGCAATCGCAGAATAGGTAGTGCAGAAGGTTATTTATGCACATACAAAATGCGCTTAAGCAACGCACACAGTGATGTAGACACCGCTCACAAACACGATATATCGGACCATTTGGGACCACTGCGAGCGCGAGTTCCATGCGCTTAAGACATGCGTCTGTGACCCTTGCGAGTATCGCTGAACCTACGCAAAAACAAAACGGGTGCGCTTCATCATCAGCCTATTAATGTCCCCACTGCTGAATACTGGGACGCCTTCCCAATATTTGGAATAGGGAGATTAGGCCATGACCTAGTGCGTGGTGGGTGCTAACGACTGCAGATGCAACCGAGGCTTAACGTACCGAAGCACGACGGAGCTCGAGATAGTAAATTTTTGATCACCTATCCAATGACTAGCGGTGGGCATTTAAACGAAAAGCGCTTAAATAAGCGCGCTTAAAATATTAAGCTTGTAAGCACGCTTTTAAGTATAAGCTTTATAAGCTTATCACTTAAAAAGTGTGAGTAAGCTTTTCACTTAAAAAAGTGCAAATATATTTTTTACTTAAAAAGTGCAAATCCCGCCATCTATGTCTTTGCCAGGAAACTACATACTTCGATCCTTCTAGTCCACTACAGTATCGTAAAATGGGTACGCGGAATTCCTTGGTACTAAATATTTCACAATATCACAGACATAGAACGCGCGACTACAGCGCCGCGTCGGCGTGCCATCTTTCGTGAGCCGGTTAATACAGAATGCGAATTATTATAATGCGACGTAAAAAATGCACTTTTTTAAAATTTGGTCGGATAACCAACGCTTTTTTCGTTAAAAGCGTTTAATTAAACGAAATCGAAAAGCAGTACGCTTGTCACTGTGACGGGGTAAGAGCGCGTGGGTGTTGTACGGTGTGTTTGCATGCTTGCTTGACGTGTTAATGCGTTTCGTGTATTGGTTTAATGTGCATATAAAATAGTTAAAAGTATGTATATAAAATCAATGAACTTTTAAGTACACCTGGATCACGAGTATATTAACTCCAGACAGTCCTAAGCTTGTAAACTAAGAAGGAAAGTTCATTGACTATTATAAAAATGTTTATTATAAAATCTAAATTCAATTGAAAATCTTTCGTTTTTAATGCCAATCAATTCATTAGGTTTAAAAAAAAATTTAATAAAAATTTCATTAATAATAAAACGCAATAAAACACTTAAACACATTAAAAACGACAATAAACTTTTCACGCTTTTTTAAACGATATACCTAAACGAAAACACAACACAACGTCGCGCTTTTTACGCATGCTTTTAAACGTTTAAGCCAATAAGCGTTTAAACGAAACGACAATAAACTTTCACGCTTTTTTAAACGATATACCTAAACGAAAACACAACACAACGTCGCGCTTTTTACGCATGCTTTTAAACGTTTAAGCCAATAAGCGTTTAAACGAAAAAGCTTTTTTTCAAGCGCGCTTATTTTAAAAAGTACAACGTTTAAACGCTTTTAAGAAATAAGCCGTTTTTTCCATCTCTACCAATGACTGACCACTGCAAAAGTTACTTAACTTCAACGATCGCAGCCGAACACGGTAACAACTTGCGCCATCGACTTCCTAAACGGAAGAGCTCACCAGGACGCTTTCAGTCTTCTTAAATGCAGGTAAAACTACCAAAATATGATTACAAAATAATTAGTACGCAAAAATCATTTAAACACTTTCAGTGGCAACATTCATAACGCTGCGAGTTTAATTTAAACAAGCTCGGAGTATCGCATAAATCCGGCTGTGGAAGTAGTTGGTATATCCGGAATATCCGGCGATCGGAAGAGGCGAATTCTGACCGGATATTGAATATTGATCGGACACCCTTAACCCTGATATATCGCCGTCGTTACCGGCCTACGAGACGATAAAGGGATATTTGTTGATTATTCAATTGTTGCGTACAATAAAAATCATGATACAATCAAAAGGAGGTACAACGATTTAAGTTATCCTAAATCAAATTTCTTTGTATTTAAGCTTATCTAGCTTTTGCTTTTCTGTGTTATTGGCTCTACCATGAAATCGATTGATCGATATTATTTTTCAATTTCAATCGGTTTGTTTCATTTTTATGTTTAATAAGTCTCCCAAGATAGACTGGACTTCCAGTCACAGAAAATCAGGAAATGTACTCAAGAAAAAAGATGCACTCTCACTGTTATTTCCGAACCACAACTACAGCTGAAACAAAACCAAATGCATAATTTAAGTTTAACTATTAGTGGGTGAAATATAGACGACAGTCTATTTATCTGATAAGTTACGGTGTGTAGTTACGTTCCTTTAGTATTAATATGAGAAGCACATTCAATAATTTGCGAATTTCGAGATTCGGTCAACAATTCTGTTTTTATTTTATTTTTAAGCATTTAACTGCTAGATGTTTAAATCTAAAGAAATGTTAACTAGAAAAAAATCCACGCGGACCTGGCTGCCTGCTGTCCAGTCTGCTGCCAGGTGCGCGTGGAATCGTTAACAATGTTAAAAATGTATTTTTCATCCCACCACCTCGGAAAGTGTAATTTTGCGCTTCGAAATCTGGCTGGAAAATTCTATTTTATTCGCTTGAGCGGCAAAGTAGATTTGAATTTAGAACATCACATATAATGAGTACTCAATATAATTGTAAATTCAAAACGTCATTAAACCTATTTAATGTAACCTCTATGGTGCCAAATTTATGATTAGAACTTTTTAAATTGTGAAAAAATTTAAATTTGGAACCTTCTTGGTTTCTTTGTTTTATTTGCGTGCTTCGCGCCATTCTAGTTTTTCACGTTTTATTGCTTAAATATTTTGTCATTATAAATTGTTTTCTTTTTCATTTTGTCATTTCCTCGCTGAGGTGGGATGAAAAGTTACGTATTGCACTCGAGTGGAAAGATTTTTCACCTTGTGCTCGTTTGTTTCCCTCGCTGACGCTCAGGATTCTAATTTAGAATCCTTCGCTTGCTCGGTCATCCAAATCGAGCACGCGGTTAAAAAGGAACTTTCCACTCTTGTATAATAAATAACTATTTTTATCTCCTCCTCTGCTTTCCTGATGTACTTTTTCTCAAACTTTACCAACATTCTACTTTATAATAATTGCAAACGGCATGAAGAGAACAATTTATTTATCCAAAGTACGTATAATTCACCAGGAAAAGTATTAAGCACGCCCAGTGAGTTTTCCGGCCACAGAACAACGTGCTTACTCCACCCAAATGTAAAGTATAAACTATTCAACTGTTGCCAGTAAGTATAACCTACAAAGCAGGCTGGCCTAGGCACTGCGAATAACTTATTCATATCGGCCATGCTCTTGCCTCTACGTATAAACGTGAGTTGCGTACTAATGTCGCGTTTGGGCCGACTTTTTTACCCTTTTGTGCCACGGGAAATATTTTTATTTACTTATAAATATAAATATGGCGTTCAATGTTTATGGGCAATAAAATGTAATAAATACTTTTCGGGATAAATATCATAATGTTTAATGAAATGAGTTTGCTGTATTAAACAACAGACTACTAATAGGAGACTGTGAGAAAAGAATGTTAAATTGCTAAAGCTGATGGTAACGGTTCACCATATTTTGGTAGCAATCAAAATTGCACTTGGCAGCTTGCCACTTGGTAGGTACTTAATAACCATTTCTATTGCAAACTTTTCCGCGTCTGATTGTCTGTATATTCTAGATTATCATGGGGCTTTCACCAACAGGTAGATGAATTTTTCATGACTGATTTATATTTATACTATATGACAAGGTAAATATATATATATATATATATAAAACTCAAAGGTGACTGACTGACTGACATAGTGATCTATCAACGCACAGCCCAAACCACTGGACGGATCGGGCTGAAATTTGGCATGCAGGTAGATGTTATGACGTAGGCATCCGCTAAGAAAGGATTTTGATCAATTCTACCCCCAAGGGGATAAAATACCGAAGCGAAGCGAGGGCGGGCCACTAGTATATATATATATAAACTACACCGATGCAACGCGAAGGCGAGTCACTAATAATAAGTAATTTACAAACTATTGTTTCCGAAAAGCGATTTAGACCTACCTTATCTAAGACAAATATAGCGGGGCTAAAGTGGCATGGGAAATTGATAGTAGTAAGACCTTTGAAATTAAATAAATTGCACAATTCACAAAATATTTAATTCTAAACTTGTACTTATGAAAACTACTAGCCCAATTTTATTGAGAAAGGACAAAAGTTAGCATAATAACGGTACGTCAACTTTTAACGGGGCGAGAACATTGTGACAGAAATTATTGTAGTAATAAAATTAACAATCAACCGTATAATGTAAAGCAAACGTTTAATGATAAGACACAATGATTTAAGTAAATGTTAAGATGGCGTATCATAAAATTGTTTTAACTATCAGTAAAATAGAACACAATCCTATTCTAGAGCGTGGGACGTGGAGAAGTATTGTCAATAAAATTATAAAAGCATTCATGGCTTTAACGTATGTAATAATTTGTTTTTGTTTATTCCATCCTTGTCTTTTGCAAGATTTATGTGTTATCTTAAATGTAATCTAAGTATATTTTTGTTAACATTATAAAGACTACATTTTTTATATCAACATTGAGGGAATTGAGCAAATAGCAAAACCAATTTAAAAGGATAATAAACAAAAACTGCAATATTATGTTTATTGGTCAAATAGCTAGATCACCGATTTAAAACATGAAGCATTAAATTGCAAATAAAAATCTTTAATCTTTAAGTATGTACTTACTTAGCCACCGACCGAAACAACTTGTAACATCCGAAGTAGAGCAAAGACATTCCTTAAACCTCATTCTGGGGAGCTGTGTACAAATGTTTTAGCGTAATTTAGCAGGTGGCTCGGGCGCTGTACGGAAAGCAAAATGTTTATGAATATAGATAGCATGGTACTTCGGAAACGGGGAACTTTTAACGCATTTTCACGAAGTAAGGATTACACGGGAACTGCGTTAGCTACGCTCAACCATTGATTTTTTAAGAACCCAACCTTAAATAGACACTAGTGTTAATAGGGATGATGACTAATTTTTTTTTCTTCGTTTATCAGGTAGATTATCCAAAAGTATTGGACACGTATTTTTTATTTTTTCACATAATACAAACATTGCAGAGATAATATATCTCGATTTGAAAAGTCGTATGACGTCAAGTTTTGGTACAATTTTCACTTAAAAGTGACATCACGAGCCCCTACTCCCAAACTTTGACGCGCTATAACTTTGTCATTTTTTGGTTGATTGCCCAAAGAAAAAATACGTGTCCATTATTTTTTTGATCATCTAACTGACGAACTAAATAGAATTTCGTTTACTATACCTCGTCATCACCCCTATTCTCACATGATTCACCGAACCTAAAATTTAATTTGACAACAGTGTATCCTTGTCATTCTCTATACAGAATGAGAAGAAGAGATTGTTTTAAGTTTAGAGATTCATGCCAGAATCGACACCATTATTGATGTTAATCATTATTTTGTCGCTGGAAAGATTTCTCGCAACAATCTCCTGAAGTTACGATCACGTTTGTTAGTAAGTAAGTCATAAATTAGACTAATTTATCAATAACTAGCGGCCGCCCGCGACTTCGTCGTGGAGTTAGTTAGAAATAAAGATTCACTGCTCGTTCCCCGTAGGTGATAGCGTATTAATATCTAGCCTATATGTCGACCCGACTTCTTAATAATATTCGTGCCATATTTGAAATAAATTCATGCAGTTCTTGTTGGGTTTATCCCGGAAATACATACAGACAAACAGACAAACATTCTAAAGTTCTAAAAACTAAAATTTTTGGTTTCCGTATCGATAGCAGAACACATCCCAAGTATTCTTTTAAAAAAATATTCAATGTACAGTTTTGTCTTTTTACAATTTTTTTTATGTTTATAGATATCAAAGTTTCGCCATACGATATCGTTTTAGTAACTAGTGGATTGGACATTTATAGAAAGTTTATTAATATTTTCGTAAAGACATTTACTTAGCTCAATTTAACTTAACACAAGAAATATTTACTTATCTGTACCTTGAATCCTACTCATGTTATTAATGTGAAAGTTTGTATGTTTGTTACGTGGAGCGGGATGGCGCGTGTGGTCAACGCGTGCCGCTCCGATCGTTGAAATTTAGCAATTTTGGCAGTCGGTCATTGGATGGGTGACCAAAAATTTACTATCCCGAGCTCCTCCATACTTCGGAAGACACATTAAGCCGTTGATTCCGGCTGCATCTGTAGTCGTTAACACCCACCAATATGCATTTTTCCATCCATAGAGAAGGCCTGTGACCCAGCGGTGGGGACATTAAGCTGATGATGATGATGTTTCTTACTCAATCACGGAAAAACTATTGAATGGATTAATTTAAATGTTTGGTAGGCATACAGTGTATGACCCAGATTGAGACATAGGATACTCTTTAAACAGGAACAGTTTTAGATGGGATTGTTCAATAAACTAAAGTTAACGCGGACGTAATCTCTGGCGGCCGCTGGTTAAATTATTAAATAAAGAACTTCAATCTATATTATGTATCTATCTAATCGAAACTCCGTTCTAAGTACGATCCCGAGAAGCGTGCCAGTAGATGCCAATATTAAGAAGTGCCCCCAGCGGCGATACGCGAGCCACTCGAACGCCGCGATAATGACGACCAAAAACAAAAACAGGCCACTCACTGACAGACTTCCAATTAATCGTAATAATTGGAACCAATGGTTACTCCATGGGAAAGAACCCGCCAACCGCGAGTGGCTATAATTACGCACTAATATTTGGCTGAATACCGTATCAATAATTTAGACTGTTGTTGTTTTGCTGGCGTTTCTCTATAGTTTAGCTTACTCGAAGTCAGCACTTTCATTCGTTCTAATTATATTAAGTGAGAAACTTTTTTCAAAATCTTAAATATGTAGTTTACTAGTTCGGAAATAAAATTCATTTTTTCTTTCTTTCGATAATATGTAGATTTATTGAAGTTTATGCTCGAATTATCGGAAGACAAAAATGTACGAGTATTGTTTACAGCTTAAGTTGTTCATTTTACATTAAATATCAACTATACTGAAAAGGAGAGTAAGCTACTAGGACATTTTATTTATCTTTTGTTCAAGTAAAGCACTTCCCCACGTCTGTCTGTTTGTATATCTTACAACTCCGCCCACGCCACGCAACGAATACAGTTTTCACCAACAATTAGAGATTTTTTCACGGAAGTTTAGATATTAAACGTTTATTGAAAAGTCCGGAAACAAAAATACTATTCTACACCCAAGTTATACAAGTTTGTGTCATGAGAATGAAATATATTTTTTTATTTTACAATAAAAGAATAAGTAGGTGATATAATAATTCTTAAATTTGTCATTTCTGAATCATTAAACTCTCTTTAAATATTTCTATACTTACTAATACTGAACCCCAAAAAGTTGATTATTTGGTTCAAAAACACCTGTAGCCGCGAGCACAGTGGACCGCTCCACTTTTCGTTCATTGACGCCGATTTAGATTTATGTATCTTTCAAACAAATTAGCTTGTTTTGTATGTTTAAAACTATAGACATACTTATACTAACGTACGTCTGTGACTTCATCCGGTGTAATTTTATTTTTTATGTAATTTAATAAACCGGAAAATGAAACAAAAGAGAAATAAAAACGCCGTCGCTATACAAATATCCTAACATTCATTATTATGTATACTAATGTTTATCTCTATACAAATATTATAAAGAAAAAGATTTGATTGTTTGTTTGTATTGAATAGGCTCCGAAACTACTGGACGTATTTGTAAACTTCTTTCACATTTAGAATCGTACGTTATCTCTAACGAACTTAGGCTATAGAAAAATAACCAAAAAAGCTTTGCAAATGCGTCACTAACTTTTTTGGTTATTATTCTCAGATACGTATTGCAAATCCGTTACTACAATACATTTTTTTATAATAGAAATTAAAAAAAAATTGTGCGGAAAAATTGCCTTCTCAAATTTTGAAATTTATTTTAATTTAAAGAAAATAAAGTATTCATGAGGCATGTTACAGTAAATGCTGATATCTTGGCAAAGAGACGACAGATATAAGTACAATATTGTAATCAATATCATGGTCTTCGTTTTAACATGACATACAGTTTACTCCATTTGGTTTAAGTTTTAAAAAATATAGAATGATTTCCTAATTTTCCGAGATTTCTTAAGATACTGAGAGATTAAGGGATAGCTGTGTTTGGAGAATATCGGCAAAGACATGGCAACCATGGAAACCCGTTTTAATTTCGCTAATACGCTATTGAAGTACACGTTATTAAATTTTCAATTTTCTCTATATCTATTATAGATATATGTACTAGTAAAGGATTTAACTTTTTTTAAATTTTGTTTTATTATGTTTTTAGAATTGTAAATTAGGCTATAAATTAAAAAATAACCACTTTCATTGACTTTTATGGTTCAGTTAACCATACAACAACAATACAACTTGGTAGTTATATCATATATATCTCAAAAATTCTATATGAAACACGTTATTGATATTCCCGCGAACCTTTTGATTACTTATCAATCCAGCACTCCGCATAGGGCCCACGTGTTGGGTCATGGCCCAATCTCCCTATTCCAACCGTGCGGGAGGCTGTGCCCCAGTAAGTGGGACATTAATGGGCTGATGATGATAATTAACTTTTTGCATGTTGTCAAGTGACCAAGTATTATTTTAGGGAAATCTGGAACCTATACTGGTGAAGTTATGTGACTTGATACCGAACTATCAACCAAATGAGCCATGCAGGCGCATCTAATTATGAAACAAACCGACTGTATGTAAATTTTATCCAAATATAGTAAGCGTTACAAACGTATCGTAAATCAAAGTCCGTTTGCATTAAAGACTTCGAGTTAACGTGTGGATTTCTCGATTAATCAATCGTATAAGGCTGCTTTTTCACTAGAGATATGCAATTATGCTAAACGGCAAGCGAGTCAAAACTCCATGAACAGAGGACCAAGTATGAGTTTTTGGCAGCTCCGAAAAGTAATCGTTAAATTTTGTAAGAAAAAGCTAGTTTGTTCTTACGTTCGATAGGGTTGCTACTTAGTTTTCATAGAAACTTTGACGATACGATACGTTATGGAGCTATCAAAAACTCGTACTTGGGCCTTTGTATTGCTGAGTATGACGTCATCCTATTGATGGACTTCAAACTCGCTTGCTGCAAAGCCAGAATCGCACGGTTCTACTGGAAAAAGAGTCTAGGACCATTTGCACCAACATTCTTAAATCAAATTAAGACTCAATATTTTTTAACGCATCATTCTTTGTCAATTTTTTAAAGTAAAAGGTTTTTGAAGTGAAACTTCTTTACGCACGCTTACTTACTTGGGGGGTAAGATGGCGAATGCGTTACACGTTACGAAAACTGTGTTCGGGCGCGGTGAACAGAAGTTAAGTGGGGGATATAAGCAAGAGAAAGCAGTGCACGCGCACATTTTCTTTCTCGCTTTCTCTTATAGCTAGTAAATGAAATATTTATATGAACATAAATGTATATATTGTATACATACATATATATGTACATACAGATGGAGCTAAAGAAGTTTTACTTCAGTCGTGTGGTCATAAGTACACTCGTTTTTTTTTAGGAATTTTGCTACAAGTGTCTTGGAATCGGTTCGAAGGCACAGCACACATGATATTCATAAAATATTGATTGGCCGCCGAGATGCGATACGACAACGTCGGCAGGGAGGTCCGAACGGATCAATTTTCTTTTTACAACCGCCAGCCATCAAAGAAGCACGCCGGCCGCCTAATTGGTGGTAATAACGGACAATTCTGTGCGCTAGTCGATATTAATTCGTGAACATTCAATTTGTACACACACACGTAATTCAGGCGTACGTGCCTCTGTAACTTTGTTGGCTTCATACAAGAAATTTGTTATCAAGGTAAAAACGTAACTAAGAGTCCCACCTTATCTACACCCATGCTTTAAAATCTCTATAAAAGATTATGGAACAGTTCGCTAATTGC